GTTGTTGTTGAGTTCCCTCCCCAGACGCCTTAATGCCCACTTACATCCTGGGCCATCTGACCTCAGGAATTCGCATGATGAGGTGGGGCCAGGTTTCACAATGAACTCACCTGAAACTCTGGCTGATTGGGACCCACACCCAGTTTCACACCTTGGCTCAGGCGATTAGAGGATCATCAGGGGGTCCTTTTGTCCCTCTGTGGGGGGATACTCCCACTAGGGTTAAATCTGGGACTCCCGACCACTTGACCTTAGAACTGAAGAAGCTTCTCGGATGAGAGGTGAAACGTCTTCAAGCAACTTAAAGAAGTCCAGACGCTTTTCTTTGCAAGCTCCTTAGACTTCTCAGAATCAGAATCAGAATCAGAATGGGGTTTATTGCCAGATGTTGAGGTTTACAACATTAGGAAATTGCTGCGGTGCTTCAGTGCAAACAATAAGAATTAAAGTGCTATGTAGAAAGAAAGATATGTGCATGAGATATACATGAGATATATACATGAGAATAAGAATTATGAGTGCTACGTAGAAAGATATATACATGAGTGCAGGTGGTGATCAGTGCCAAACATGAAATGATGCAGTGACACAGCGTAGGGTCATGTGTTAGTGGCGGGGACAGTCATGTGGTTATTGTTCATGTGTCCAACATGAACTGTGTGTACAGTTATCGCAAAATCTAAAATTATGGCTTTAGATGCCTTATGTAAGACTTATGACCTCGATAAACAAGACTTCTTCCAATACTTGCAATTTTGTGACTATATTGGCAAAAGAATAAACAGCTGTGTCCTTGGAGACTTCTCGATTGTTATCATCCTCATTGACGCTTATGACTCCGAGAGTAACAAAGCACTGATAAGTAAAGTGTACAAATGTATGATTAAGCTTAAAAGGACTCAACAATTTACATAAAACAGAAATGGGAAAGAGAAATGGACATTGAGATTACAGAAGATGGGTGGACAAGTATTTGGGTAACGCAGTTCACAACAACTAATTCCAACATGTGGCGGGAATTTTGTCATCTCTTGGCTCTTGACGGAGGCGGTCGCACTTTCTCCTGCTCCCTCTCCCTGCCGGATACTCGATGGCCGGTTGCATCGTGTGTCTGGCAACACTATCGATGGAAGACATTGAATAACATCTACCAATTCGGAACCATGATAACAGAGTTCTGGCCTATTGGAGCTGGCTCAGACCCGGCTTATCGAGGAACAAAAGCAGCTACAGCTGTTAAAAAACCCACAAGGCTGGCCAACATGATAGATGACGGGCAGGACTGTGTGTACTCAGACTGTGTTTTTTTGAATGCAATATGGATAAGACCTTGGAGAAGAACAACGGGAATTGAGAGACCTGGTGACTAGTGACAGACATTAGACCTACTGTAAAATTGGATGCAGTTTGTTTGCACTAACCAAAACCACTACCATCTTCATCTCATGTGGCCCCCCTGGCACCAGCTGGATGCTCAAGGCAAAAGCTGACGGGAATAACAATTCTCCCTTAGATAATAAGACTGTTGTGACTCTCTCCCTCCTCATTCAAGGTCACCCGCGTCGACCGAAGATTGTTGACTTTTGCCTAACCGGGTGAAGGGACACTTTCTCTCGGCTGAACATGGAACACACACACGCACACCTACACATGTACACTGACACAGACCTACACCCACCCACCCCCCACCCCCTCCAAACACCTTTGAAGCTTATGTCTTCTATGTTGTGAGATGTGATGATTCATGTGCTATTTACTGAGGTTTTTTTCTGTTCTCAAACTGAGCTCCCTGTTGGAGCTCAGTCTGGGGGAGTTCTTTTTTCTCCTTGTCTTTCCTCATGTAGTGCATTTTCCATTGATATACCTCTCTGACCTGTCTTCCCCATGTGATGTTGTGTAATGTATGTATGGTCGGAAGGGTAAGATGGAGTTGGCAAAAGGTCGGCAGCCTTAATCCAATTTCCTTCGGGGTCAACCTTCGGGATCAATAAAGTTTAATTGAATTGAATTGAATTATATGTTTTTTCATAGGACCTAAACAAAAGTCTAAATTCAGTGCTACACCTGTGCTGTGCTTGAGAAACTATGGGGAGGTGTCAGAGTTCCTGGGTCTTTGACCCAGTGCTTTCAGTTTTGTCAGGTTTAGTTTATGTTGCCACATCAATGTTCTCACTTCCTGCTCTTCCTGTGTCAGCTCGTCTCTTGTGTCGTTAGTCAGATTATGTTCAGCTGTGTACTCACCAGTCTCTCATTATCATCCTTATCAGTCTGTGTATTTAAGTCCTCTGTTTCCACTTGTTCACTGTTGTGTCATTGATGTTATGTTGTCGTTTCTGCCTGCGTTCAGTTCAGCCAGCCATCCAGTCTTTCAGCCAGTCAGTCCTTTCGTTCCTGCCCTGTTCATCCACTCTTCATAATAAACAATCTTCCGTTCTTCACTATCCACGAGTCCTGCGTTTGGGTCACTTCCTCGCCTCCACACAACACAAATCCTGACAGGAAGTCACGGCGAAGAAAATGGCTGGGATTTATCAACTGTGGTAGCATTCTTTAATGCATAGAACTTCCAGCAGCAGCAGCAGTCATTTTGCCATATCATTTTTTGATTGGTCAACATGGTGCCTTTTTCCACCAACATGAACGGGCTGTTTTTTGTTTGTATTTTTATTTTTTGCTCATAAGCAGAGAGTGCTCGCCGCGCTGTCCTTAGACAGTAAACGTGACAAAACTATTGAAGAAAAAACGCGTATATATTGTTTATCATGACTCTGGTTTTACGTGGACTATCAACACAATTTAAAAACTGGTATATATCACCTTGTTGCTTTGTCATCTTAAAGCGGTCATGTGATTGGCTTACCAAGACTACTTTATTCTTCCTCAGCCAAACAGCAGCACTCATGCGATTGGTTTGCCCCCTGAGCTCCAGGTGTTGTGCCAAAAAGTGATCATCTACCAGACAGTGATTGCTGCCCGCAGGAGCGTGCACAGCTGCTTAAAGCTGTAGCGCCCAGATTACTTACATAGACAGCTACTTCCATTCAACTGATATAAGGTGCGGTAGACTAAAGACAGCTTCAACCGTCTGTTTGTTGAAAAATAGTAACGCGACCGCACCGCATTTTCTTTCTTTCTTTCTTTCTTCCTTTCTTTCTTTCTAACGGTAACAGCGTTGTAACGATAGGAATAGCAATTAGTTAGATTACTCGTTACTAAAAAAATTAACGACGTTAGTAACGCTGTTACTTGTAACGCCGTTATTCCCATCACTGGATTCCACCCTCAAAGATATCATCGATTTGATGAAAGCTAATCTGCTGCTTTTTTCTGACTATCCTCGGCAAACATTGGTGATGACATCGTTGTGGAAGTTGATAAGGCAATAAAACAACACACCTATAGAGTGAATCCTACCAACCAACTGGTTTTAATGTAACAGTAAGTTGAATATCTAGTTAAACATGGGTTAGCTGTGACCAGTAGCAGTGCATGGAGTTCGCCCTGTATTTTGGTGCCCAAACCAGATAACATCCCACGTTTCTGTACTGATTACAGAAAGGTTAATGCTACATACGTTACTAAGCTAGACCTCTCCGGAAAATTATAAAGGTATGATTAGATGATGTTCGTCAACTGTGAAAACCTGTTTTTGTCATCTGCCATAATAAACTACACACTCTTTGTTAAAGTCCACATTTGGGTCATCTCAAAAGAAAACCACACAGTCTGCCACTGCTGTTTGTCCTTGTGTTCCTGCTCCCAGGATAGCTAAGGCCCAGCCATTCCCTGCAACTGTATCAGTTTCTCGGGTGAGGGTGGCTAGGACGGCTTTGTCAACAAAGATATGTTTATTTACTTCACTGACCCCATTCTCAGATGGCCAAATCCCTACACTCTGAGCATCTCTGTGGGACTGAAATGCGTTCTGTGGAGGAAACAAAGAAGTCCTTTAAAAATGTTGGTATATTTGGCTGATCCCAAATGCTCCTATGCCGTTCTGCTCCTCTCATCACCCAACTAAGTGACTCACTACTCGTATGAAATAAGAAGACCATATGGCTGCGAATCTGATGATACATTTACAAAAACATCAACATAGGTTTGACCTAGGCTGCAAACCAAGTCAAGGAAACAGTCCTCTTGCCTACCAAAAATCCCAATGTACAGACATTGAAGTATAATGACCTTACCAATGGTGGAGTGGAAATGAGTCCAGCCTCTTCTCAGGAGACTAGTTCCAGAAACAAGACTGTGTATTGATGTGGTCCTACCTTTATTTTCATGGTACCTCTCAACCTCACATAAAAGTTCTGGCTTCTTCCTTTACTAACATTAATGTTAATTATTGTCTGTGTGATTTTAAAAATACTATACCATACAGTAAAATGTCCCAGAGAAATTCTGGGACTATTTAGTTTAACGTTGTAAAATGTTTTCATTCATTTATTTTGTGCACTGCACCGTTTTTGCATACATTGTGTTTTCTGTTCAAATAGTTCTGCTTTTTCAGTCTTATCGACCACTACTGCCATGTACTTTTTCAATAGTAATATTCCAAATAGAACGAAGTATTTTATTCTATTTGCATAGTACTTTTTATATTGTATATAGTATTTTATTCTAGTTTGTATAGTTATTCTATTCTACTGTTTTTTCCCCTTTTTTTCTTAATTTTTACTGCTCTTAACTTGTACTTTCTGCCATGACCAAAAGATTTCCCACATGTGGGATTAGGTTTATCTTGTCTTATGGCTCCAGTCTATAAATATAATAAATCAATACATTTTTCACATATGCATGGGAGCAATGAGCAGAATTGAAGAAGCGCTCAAACATGCAAGCACATGCGTTGCTTGAGTCTCATTGGTGCAGGCAAGCAGCAGGTTCAGCTGGCTGGGCTTAGATTCTTGCAACACTTAGTCACATGGGCTGATGATTATCTCACACAAATAGGCACACAGAGCAGGGATCTGTGTATTCTGTGATTGCACAAGCCCTTCCCCCTCCCTTTAGAGCTCTCGCCCTGTCGCTCCCTCCGTCTCTCTGCTTCCCTGCCCTTTTCTGTTGTCTCTATTTTTCTCTGTAGTGCACGCCTACACGTAAAGGCACACACTCAGCCAAAGCAAAATTGTCGGTGCGCAGCTACATTTGCGATTTAAGAGGTAGGAAAACACTGATTATTTTTCAAACTACTTCCATTTTCATGTGTTTTATTCTTTAGTCAGTGCTGGTACGCCCCTTCTACAGTACGCCTGTTTATCTCCACTGGATACCTTTGGGTATGTGTGAGGAAGAATGTCTGTGCCTTTGTCACTGCATATCACAGGCTTGTTCAGACCATTATGGACCTATATTGTGGGAAACTTTCAATGTGGAAGCTGAGGGGATTGCTGGGTGTCCTAGAAGAGCAGTTCTTATTCCAGTCATGTTTGGGCTAGACATTCCTGCTTCCTTTTATTGTTTCTTAATCCTGCCAATTTTTACTAACCCAAGCTGTAATTGCTATTTCTCTCACATATTTGTAGCACTACTCAAGTGTAATATTCTGGATATTTTTTTTACATTTTTAATTTTTTTATTCACAGATGACAAAGAGGATACAGTGTTAGGGAGTCTGCCCCTGCTCAGTTTCCAGATTGGAGGAGTAGAGCTTTCAGAAAACATCACCTGCAAATTTGCCTTTAAGGTCAGTAACTGAACATTACAAAAGGTTCATATATAATTGCTTGTTATGGAAGAAATACATTGTGTATTGAACAGCATAGATCTATTAAATGACTTTGGAATGTGCAATTGTTGCAATAAATGCATTGGTTCTTATATAATGCTTTTCCATCTTAGCAGTCAAAGCATTCGCTTCACTCTCCCATTCATACATCAGTATGTATTTTCTATGTAAGTGCTTATAGCTAGCTTTCACACTCCAACAGATTCATCCAAGAGCAACTTAGTTAGTAGGTTAGTATTCTGGTAATCGCCAATCTTCTGATTAGCAGATGACCTGCTCTACCTCCTGAGCTAAAGCCACTTCTGTAGTCTTTAGTCTGTAGCTTAGTGGAAAGCAAATATGACTTGGTTCTTCGTATTAGTGTACTTTGCCTTAACTTATACAACTGATTAATGAAGGTCTTTAGAAAGGTTCTCTTTAGCACAAGATGATTTTTATAATGAAATAGGCAGTTGTTATAATATCCCATATAGTGGGATGGTTGTTACCTGTTCTCCTGAGTGATAACAGTTCCTCACAGAACAGCTGTTTTAACCCCTGAGCTCCCTTGTGCAACAAAACGTCTCATTGAAAAAATTAGGATTTGCTAATGTTGGAACTTTGTTGTTGTTTTTTTGCCTTGGTGTAGTGAAGGATGTTGATTTGGTACTGGCTAATAAAAGTTTAATAGCCTTGGGCTGAGGCAACGTTTACATCATAGTGAAAGATTTATGTTTTATTTTCATTTAAAGAAAAGACCTGGGATTAGAACAATGGATTATTATTAAAATATATTCAGTTATTTTAAATGGTAAATGGACTGATTCTTATATAGCGCTTTTCTACTCTCCCGGAGTACTCAAAACGCTCTATACAACATGCCTCATTCACTTCTAAACACAAGTGCAAACTAATCTACATTCACATTTATTCACACTCCAATGAACGCATCGGAGGGCAACTTGGGGTTAGTATCTTGCCCAAGGATATTTGACATGTAGACTGGGGAAGCCAAGGATCAAACCACTGACCTTCTAATCAGTAGCTGATGTGCTCTACCACTTGAGTCACCACACCCCATTTTAGTCTTTAGTACATTATATTTGCCTTTTATTTTCAGCTTTTACTGCAATCACTGTTTTCTTTTTCACTTTTCAGTAGATCTAGGCTTTTCTGTCACTCTCTCTTTACTAGTGCAAACTCTGGCTCAAAGTCCAGTTTATGTACCCAGTGTGTACACACTCACAAACAAAAGCCCATGTAGGTTGTTTACTGAGTGGAGACAGACTGCTTTTTCCCCCCCTAAAGAACATGAACTGAAAAACCCTTTTTTTATTCAGTGTTGTTACAGTACTTAGTACTCTTGTCTCTTTTTCTCATAACTAAGGTATTTGGTTTTGGGTGTACAGAGACCATACAGTTACATAATAGCAGGTCCATCAGTGAGTGGTGTACTCGACCAGCTAAGTCAAACTGTGTTTTTTATGTCTTGTTAATCCTGTTGCAAAGTGTTAAAACGTTAAAACGAACACAGATAATTGCAACTCTTGTTTTCACATTTACAGAAGCATGCGGGAGGTCATTGCTGACCATTTTCAGTGTAGCAAGATTTTTTTCCTTGCTAATAACAAAAATAGATTGGTGAATATGTAATAAAATTTTTCTGTTAAGTTCAGAAAAGCGGTCATTTTGAAACCATGAACATGCACACCAAAATTTCAGGTCCTTCAGTTCATCTATCCATCCATCCATCTTCATCCGCTTTATCCGAGGCCGGGTCGTGGGGGCAGCAGCCTAAGTTCATTGTGTAGTTTTTATGATATAGCTGCATCTGGCTGGGTATGTGTTTATGTATGAGACAGATAATCAAGGCATTTCAGTTTTTTATCAGCATGGTTCAAATATCAGCTCAACTAGCAAGCTATTGAAACCGGTTTTATCAGCAGATTTACCATCTTCCTGTACAGTGGTGTGGGTTAACCTATGGTACATTTAAGGGTTTCAGTAAAGTTGACAAATGTGCAACTAAAAGTTATGTTTCATCTTAGTGTTCAAGCCAAACCAAAATTATTATATTTTAATAGAAATATTTAATCAAATGTCAAAGCACTTTATACAACTTGCCTCATTCAGCCAAGCACTTCTTTCTACTGAAGTGCTTTCTTTCTAATATTCATACATCAGAGGGTAACTTGGTATTAGTATTTTGTCCATGGATATTTGACATGCAGACTGGAGCAGCCATGGATCAAAACCACCAGCCTTTCAATTAGGAAAGGATCTGCGCTACTATCTGAGTTACAGCCACCTGAGAAGAACTCAAGGTTCTATATCATGTCAATTTCTCCTTTATGGCAAATAAGGCTGGCTTGTCAGATTTATTCACAATATCAGCTATTGTGCTAGATTTATCTGAAAGTCTTATGCTGTGGGACTGCATATGACTGACACTTTCTTTTTACTATTCTTAAAGTTAAAATAAGGATGCAGAAATAGGATTGGGTTTTAAAAAACGATTTTCCCAAGTCAAATTAATTTTATCTTAAATAAAGCAATATCGATTCATTAAATCTCAAATCGATTTTTTTAAATGTAAATGGACTTTGCCAGAAATGCCAGAATCTCAGGTTAAAGCCCACAAAACTATTTTAATGACCACTAAACAGCTAAAACAGTAAATGAGAGCAGTTACACGGATTCAGCACAAAGATGTAAACACAGAGCATTGTTCACCCGATGGCACATACGCAGGCATGCCATCTGAGCTGAAAGCCAACATCTAACAGATTCTAAAGATGCAGGTTTCATCCCCAAAGTTCACTGAATCAGCAGCAAAAGAAGATCCAAATTATGCTTCACGTTTGATAAAAATTGTCATGAATTCCCTCCACCACAATAAAAATCACACTTCCTGCACAGCTCTCTCTCTCTCTCTCTCTCTCAGTGTACTCTGCGCATCTGCATGCATCTATCCATCCACCCATTTTCTTACATTTATCTGAGTCACAGGGGCAGTTGTCACAGCAAGGATACCCAGATCTCTCTCTTGCCACCTCCTCCACCTTATCTGGGGAAACATGAGGTGTTCCTGGGCCAGCTGATTTGTCCAGTGTAGTGGGTCTGCCCCAAGGCCTCCTCCCAATGGCACATGCCTCAAACACCTCACCTTGTCAGATGCCCAAATCACTGAACCACTTTGGCCCCAGTCCATCTGACAATCTCATGCCTCATGAGCAAGACTCTGATATACTTAAACTCCTCCACTGGGGCAGTCACTTCTCCCTGACCTGAAGTAGAGACTCCACCCTTTTCTGGCTGAGGACCATAGCTTCCGACTTGGATGTTCTCATTCTTATATCTGCTGTTTCACACTCAGCTAAGAACCACTCCAGTGTGAGCTAAAGGCCACTGCCTGATAAGACCAACAGAACCATGCAGAATAATCTGAAAAAATAAGAGATGCAATTCTATGGCCACTAAAATGGTAGCCTTTTGCCACCTGGCTATGAGTAGAAATTCTATCCATAAAAACACAGAGCAAAATTGGTCACAAAGGGAAGCCCAGGCAGAGTCCAACCCGCACTGGGAATGAGTCTGATTTTCTAGTTCAAAGGTGGGGCCCAGTAACCCTACTCCAGAATACACTTGCTTTTTTCTCTCACAAAGGGGTTGACTGAATTACTCTTTGTCTAGCCACTCTTCCAGGACCAGTTTGCTTTGGGAGACCCTGTCAGGGGGCAACTGTGATGAATGTACAGTAAATGTCCTGGTGGTGCGGGACCCAAATGCAGGACTTAAACGAAACAGGATAAACTCAAAGAAGCAGCTATATTGCTGTGAAAAAATCCAAATGAAACATAGAAGTGAAATAAAAACTAAATCTGAAAAATAGAACTTAGACTAGGAACAAACTCAGAAATAACCTGGAGGACAGGAAACATACACAGGAACATGGGATGATGTGTCAACAGGCAAATGAAAACAAGACTAAATATACAGAGGATAACAAGGGAATGAGAAACAGGAGGGAAACACAGCTGGAGCTAATCTGTCATAACAAGACAGAGAGGAAGCAAAAATGAGTAAACTAAAAATAGGGCAAGGGACTATCAAAGTAAAATAGGAAACATGAGTCACACACTGAGACACAGGACTTGATACTAGGACCAGGGAAGAATAAGATCAGATAAACCTTTATTAGTCCCACACGTGGGAAATTTTTTGGTCACAGCAGAAATGTTAAGAGCAGTAAAAATTAAGAAAAAAAGAAAAAAACCGAGTAGAATAAGAATAACTTTCACCCTGCCTCCCACATTAGGGAGGCAGGGTGAAAGTTATGATTGTGTTTTGGATGTGCGTGTGGGTCTGTCTGCCGCAGTCTCCCACTGAAGGAGCTGCTCAGTGCTGTCACAGTCTCCTGCATGGGGTGGGAGATGTTGTCCAACAGGGATGACAGCTTAGCCACCATTCTCCTGTCACTCAACACCTCCACTGGGTCCAGAGGGCAGAACAGAGCTGGCCCTGTGGATCACCCTGTTCAGTCTCTTCACGTCCCCAGCAGAGATGCTCCCGCCTCAGCAGACCACACCGTAAAAGATGGCTGAGGCCACCACAGAGTCATAGAAGGTCTTCAGGAGTGGGCCCTTCACGCCAAAAGACCTGAGTCTCCACAGCAGGTACAGCCTGCTCTGCCCTTTCCTGTAGAGGGCGTCTGAATTATGAGTCAGTCCAGTTTATTGTTCAGATGAACACCAAGGTACCTGTAGCTGTCCACAGTCTCAATGTCCATACCTTGGATGTTCAGTGGTTGCAGTGGAGAATGCTTGTGCCTGCGGAAGTCTACCATCAACTCCTTGGTTTTACTGGCGTTGATCTGGAGGTAGTTCAGCTGGCACCAGTCCACAAAGTCTTGTGTCAATTCTCTGTACTCCTTGTCATCCCCTATCAGTGATGAGGCCAACTATTGCAGAGTCATCAGA